TATATATATATGTATATAAATCTACATATATGGCTATGAGTTCTCTGGATTAACTTGTCACTTAGTCATGTGCCTATATTAAAGTAATGTTAAATACATAAATATCCAAATTATCTATGGGCTATTGCTACGAGTGACACGAACTACTAGCAACCTATTAAATTAACGTATTTTGTAGCTACGTGTAGCACGTGTACAAAAAATATATTGTAAATGAGCTTCCAAAGCTTTCTGTAGAATATGTAACAGATAGAAATAAATCCGAATTCGAAATTTGTATTAAAAATGGGCAGCATTTAGAACTTAATTCAAAATAATGTAGGTAAATTTTGCAAATAGTTATTTGAATTATTTGAATATGTAAATTGGGCAACTATAATGCTGCCGGATATCTCCTAGTCGTCTACTTCCGACTAGACTTCTGCATCTTGCTTTTGTGCTTAAGTCTGTATTTGTTGAATTTATCGTTTTAAGTTCGAGCTTTCAGAATTGTTTACGAGTATGTGACTTGAAACCGCATTTAGTGCGTCAAATAAAAAAAATAGAAGCAAAAAGTTTAGGTAACCATTTCATTGTTATTTTCACGTTCGCTTTTAACTTCAAAGTGAAAACGAAATGTGTAACAAATTCCTGACAGCCACTGACCAAGGATTGACAGCATTTGTTGCGTGGGATCAATTAGATTTCGAACGGACAAAGGCAACGTTCCACACATTCCTCAATRTTTATCCCAGTTGCTCGTGGCGATTCGCTCAGATTAGCCGCMTTTGCAGTAGCTATGCATTGGCATTGTTTGACTTRCTCGAAATCGAAAGAAAATGAAAAATTCCAAAGTGTCATTGGTCAGGCAATAAATACAAAGAGATGRCATTGATTCTCTATTTGCTTCAACAGGTACTGGCTGCCGGAATCTCCACGGTGGCTTCTGGCACAGGGACGCCTCGAGGAGCTGAATCGTCTAATTGAGGGCGCCGCCAAGATGAACGGCACCGTGCTGCCCAACAACTACCAAAAGATGCTGGAAGCCGCCGTACCCATTGAATTGCGGCAGGACACCTCCCAGACGGAAGCTGTCACCACAGTCGTTGAGGAGAACAAGATACCATCTGATGTACCTCACTTGAATGTGCATGTAAATCCGCTGTTTGTGGTCTTTGGCAGCAAATACTGGCGTACCACTCTGCTCACTCTGATTATTTGGTTCACCCTAATTATAATCTACTTTGGCCTGACGCTGCACTTGAGCAACTTGGGTGGCAACGTCTACGTAAATAGCGCAGTAGCCGGCAGTGTGGAGTCCATTTCGATATGCATCAGCATCTTCGTAGTCATCAAAGCCGGTATCAGGCGCAGCCTGCTGGGCTACATGTTGCTGCCTGGCCTCTGCTGTCTGGCCACCAACCTGGTGCCCCAAAACGAACACAACCAGTCAGGCGTCATTGCTCTCGCCACTATAGGTGAGTGTCCGATAGAAACTAATATACATATTTGTATTTGTACTTGTATGTAACCTGAATTTTGTCTTCCAGCCAAGTGTTTAATAGGCGCCAATAATGCCATTATACCCACCTACACGGCTATGCAGTATCCCACTATTGTTCGCAACTTTGGCGTCGGCATGGGTAACTTGGCATCAGGCATAGCTCTCATTCTGGTCCCCTCCTTGTGGCAGCTGGTAAGTTACTGAGGTCCAACTATTGTTACCCTTCCAATGAATAATTTATTTTTCTCAAACTTCTAGGAGCATTATGATGCTTTGCTTCCTCTGAATATAATGGGAGTTTGCGGTTTGATTGGCGCTGTTGCCATCMTRTTGATGAAGGACGTCGAATAGTTTTTATCTCTTCGTATTTGTATTTATTTTATGTACATTTCTAACTGTGATATATTGGCAATATCGGCCAATGGGCCTTCACAAAATCATTTTTCTCAGCGTTTGTCTATCATTTTATGCTTTTTTAGTACACGTACATATATTTATAAATCATTTAAATTTTAAAAGTTTTCTAAAAGTTTTTTTAAATTGTTAATATTTCTGTAGACTCTGATATTTTAGATTTATTGACATTAACCGGACGTACTTCGTTCGTGATACTAAGTTAGTTAAAGTTATATTTATCAATTAAGAGAAAATGTCTTAATCATTATCATCTACATAGCTAATTATTGACACATATGCCTTTGTCTGTCTACCTACATGTTGCTCATGCTCCTCTTGGCTTTTGCTTAAGATTGTATAATCATTTAATAAATAAGCATTACACTAAATCGAATTTGCGAGTAGTGTTTGTCTTAAATTAAGTTCTTTGATTTAAAAGAATAATATAAAACAGAATAAATAATAATATTAAAACTGATCGAGCATAAATTCATTTTATTTAATATGAATACATTTCCTCAATTACTTTATTAATCGAAAGCTATATGAAATCATAACATAGTTCCCCAATATCTTTCATTTATCAGTTGAATTAAATGTGTGAGGCTACTGCAACATATTCGTAGCTACTTAGCCAATACTACAACCCAGTGCGTCCCACTGTAAAATCACACATACGCCCTGTAGTGGTTCAAGCACAAATTGGGCTTTGTATTTTAAAAGCGCAACGCTTTCAAAAGCTGGAAAAGCTGAACGTACAGCGTTGCCACATGTATTTATTTTTGGCTGAGAGTCGCGGTAAAAATAGTTTAAAAATTGAAGCACGTTCCAAGAGCACACATACAATTCTCAACACAAGCAATATGTATCCGAAAACCATCGCAGATTTGAAAMMATTATTGCGTTCACTTTCATTTCAAGATGCGTTAACGGCTWTAACTGCTTAAACGTTCACATGGTAGCCACAACACGCCTCACATAAATTTCCAGGTGTGTGTGCTGGACATGAGAGACGAAAAGCTGCGACGGGGCTATAAAACCGACTCGGCAACTCGGGCGCCCAGCATTTTAACGTTTATCGGCTGGCCAAAAGTATCTACCTAAGCGACGACGGTCTCAAAATAAATAAAACTGTTTAAGTTTTTCTATATCAGAAGTAGAGTCGGAGCATTGCGGAAGTGTTATACAAACGGCCACAAAATGAAACTGCAACTAGTCGCGGTAAGTTCGAAAAATATCAACATAAAACACATTGAGTGCAGGATTAAATACAAGTGTTCACTTTGGAAAACTCACTCACTTACTCAAAACTGCAATAGTCCGGTTGCATGTGTGCAGGGGAACACCCAAGGTCGTTTNGGAAAAGCTGAACGTACAGCGTTGCCACATGTATTTATTTTTGGCTGAGAGTCGCGGTAAAAATAGTTTAAAAATTGAAGCACGTTCCAAGAGCACACATACAATTCTCAACACAAGCAATATGTATCCGAAAACCATCGCAGATTTGAAAAAATTATTGCGTTCACTTTCATTTCAAGATGCGTTAACGGCTTTAACTGCTTAAACGTTCACATGGTAGCCACAACACGCCTCACATAAATTTCCAGGTGTGTGTGCTGGACATGAGAGACGAAAAGCTGCGACGGGGCTATAAAACCGACTCGGCAACTCGGGCGCCCAGCATTTTAACGTTTATCGGCTGGCCAAAAGTATCTACCTAAGCGACGACGGTCTCAAAATAAATAAAACTGTTTAAGTTTTTCTATATCAGAAGTAGAGTCGGAGCATTGCGGAAGTGTTATACAAACGGCCACAAAATGAAACTGCAACTAGTCGCGGTAAGTTCGAAAAATATCAACATAAAACACATTGAGTGCAGGATTAAATACAAGTGTTCACTTTGGAAAACTCACTCACTTACTCAAAACTGCAATAGTCCGGTTGCATGTGTGCAGGGGAACACCCAAGGTCGTTTGGTTTGAGGCTTAAGATCTCGATCTCCATCTCTGAGCACCGATTGAGACATTGGCGTTTTTATTTGCATTTAATAGAAAGTCTATGAGTGTACTTGTAGCTCAATGCAATGCAGTTCGCAATTAAATATGACCAATTGGCATTTCGTTCGCCGATCATAAAAAGTCAAACAGCAAACGCAACACAAATCCCCGATATCATAAATATGCGATTCAATCATTAACAATTGTCTATTTTTATGGGTACCGAAGAATTTCAATTGAAAAAATTGGTTAACCAAGCCCTCAGGTCACAGATTAAACGAGTTTTTTTCGGCTTTGTCTCCGCCCCATTGAATGACGGCAGTGTGCCAACATTTTTTAAAGCAACCCAATAATGTTCAGTGGCTATAAGCGCAGTCAGCATTATCTTTGCAATTTGCCTCAGAGTCTGCATAGATAAAGTGCTTAGTAATAAATATTTATTGGTTTATTTATAAATATTACCATGAATCCTGTTGGGGAAAGTAACAAAAAATTAGTGAGATTTTGAGATATATTAACATACAAATACCAAATCAGATATATACAAATATTACCAATTATCATAGATTGCGAAACTTTTTTAAAGCCTTAAATAACCATTTCTAATAGGATTTTAATGTTACTGATTGATTGCTTGACTTGTGGGGCTTGTCAAAAAATTTGGCCATAGCTTGGACTAATGAGTTTTCAAATATAAAAACAACTTAATAACAGTAAAAATCAGAGCAATAGTTTTCGGCAAATTGTTTGGGCATTTTAAGAGCAGTTTTATATGATTCAACAGAAAATTGATCACGGCATATTTTACGGTGGCTTGGATTATGTATCTCAAGGTCGCTTTGGCCCGGCTCACTTGCATTGGCATAGTCCGCGAGCCACTGACCAAGTTATTTGAGATTCAGCTCAACGCACTCAAGTCGCAAGTTGCACACATTTAATGCAAATTTTTGGCACGCATACACCCATACGCATACACACACACATTTTGTAGATGCAGCTACTCCAACACAACTTGAAATGCTTTTCGGATAGTCTGCTCCATAACACAATTGGGCGTAGTGTGTTACGTAATACACGAGTACGCTGCACACTCATAGCTGCATACATATATTTATATATGTATAAGCATATATTTGTATACAAGTATATATGTATAAGCATAAATAAAGCGTTATATATCTGAGCTCTGAAAGTGCACTGACAACTATTTCCAGTCGAGTGAGAGATACGTTCAAGAAATCTCTGTTGAATGCAGTAAAGTTTTTCGGTGTTTTCGTTCCCTTTCGGTCAATAACCCGCTCAGTTGTAACCAAGGCCAAGAGTCCTTTACCTGSTTATTRTTGCTAATGAGCCATCATCCAATCAACATCGTCTTCCTCTGTCATCGCACTCGAATGAGAGCGCAGACTACGCCCACATGACTTTAGCTAGGGTTTGGCTCAAAATTAAAAAATAAGAAGAAAATCAAGAAATATTTTGTTTTCGGTTTCCTTGAACCACCTCGTTAAGGTGCAGCCATAAAAACTAATTAAATTAAATCAAGTTCCCAAGCAGCAAAAAATACTCGCATAGTTGCAAGTATTTGCAAAAGCGTGTAAAGCGAGCTCGATTTTCTATTTCTCTCCCTCACTCTCATTTACTTTTGTTCATATTATAACGGCTTGCCAAATAGTTCACTTGACCAGGTAGAGTTGGGCAGCCAGCCAAGCTGCAGTTGGTCATTGGAATGTTTAGCTTGAATGCCCACAAAACAACGCCAAGCAGCACCCCGCTGGCCAAGAAAGCTAAGCAAATCGAGCTAAGAAAACCAAAATCAAAACCAACAAAAAATAACTACTCACTTATTTATACAACAATATTTGTAGACTGAATGCATAATACAAATTTGCATAAGCTGAAGTCACTATGCCTTTAATTAAGTAGCAAAGCGTAAAGTACAATAACTATACCTATATATGAATGAACATAGTTTACAATTTGTATAAACTACTAATACAAATGGATAATAGGGAAAATACTAAATTGAGAACAGCAAATCAAATTCAAACTAAATTGATCTGATGTTATAAAAATACTTAAATATTAGTCGAATTTATTTACGACAACCTGTAACCCAAGTTAGCCATCTACAACAAACAAATGTACCAATGTAGATAATACTAAACTATTAGTTTGTAGTGATATCAAGGATATGTATATATTTCATAAAATATTACTTCATATATCCAAAGGCAAATAATCAATGTAATTGGTCTAACGCATTTTGATTTGATAACAAGCCTAAACTAAACCAGTTTTCAAAGGCCGTGTTACAGATTTTATTCAAAGTCAAATACATAAAAATATATTAAAAATTTTTAGTTCATAACGATTTTGTACTATATACAGCGAAATGTTCTTAAAGCACAGTTCGTATAAAATCGAATCTTTCAGTCGCTTGATAGATCTATTTAACGTTGTGTCTACCCATGTGAAATGTGGCACAAAAATTCCAATCGAAAGCAAAAGTGGTGTAGCTGCTGTGGGCTTTGTTAACCTAGCGCGCGGACCATAACCCGTGTCACTGATCTCGATCGCAATTAAAGCGGCACCTAATTAAAAATTAACTCAAAACATTGACTCAACGACTGGTATTTTGGAAAGTATTCGAGTTCGCAATGGACGACTTCCATTGATTTGGCGGCCACTTGTCCTAGACACTGACTTCTTTTTATTTGTCTGTGTACCGGAAACTCGGCGTGCTTGAGCTCAAATGGTTTCCACATGCCACGGAAAAATTCGCATAACTAACTCTGTGGAGTTTTTTCTTTTGCCAGTTTGTGCCACTTTAGGCTGCCGCCAACTGCTGAGGCATGCAAATTACGCAATCCGGCCAGAGACGCCGATAACAACAACAGCGGCAACCAATATTTTCTGTTGTTGTTGTTGTAGGTGACGGTGGTTGGTGGTACTGGCGATGGTGGTTGTTGTTATGATCGATCGAACCAGCGAGGCGGGCGAGCAATTTCTGCGATTTGCTTTATGTTCCACATTTGTTGCTATTGCAGTTACTTACTCCTGTTGTTGTTGTTGTTGCCGTCACAGCGTTACAATTACAAATTGTTGTTGTAACACTTAAGCGGCATATAAATGTAAACCAGTTTGTTTATGGCGACAGCGGCTTAAGAAGTGCACGACAAGCGCAAAGTCAAACGTTATGCCTCGTACATTTGTGGAACGTATGTGGAGCATAAGTTTCGTAAAAATACCCGTTGCTGATTAAGTACGCACAGCTAATTAGAAGCGTGGCCAAAAGAGATCAAAAGTTGGCCACGCTGGGTGAAGCAACCGCAACAGTTTCAACAGACCACGCCTTTTATAGCCCTGCCTCAATTCCACTAATAAACTCTTACGATTTGCAGCTGTTGTGCAGCGTCGTTGTCTTGGCACAAGCCCAAAACTATCCACCACGGCTGAGCATTCCGGGCGCAATCCCCGTGCCAGCGCCAATACCTCAGCGCCAACAAGTGCTGCGAGTGCGTCGACCTGGCGTGACGCTGCGTCAACAACAGCAGCAGCAACAGCACTTGCCMGCTGTTACGCAGCGCATTCTACTGGAGGAGCGACCCGTTACAGAGCCCGCTGAGGATGAGCAGCCGGACGCATTCCTGCCCAATCTGCTGCGCGAACAGCAGCTAGCCCAGGCACAGCAATCGCAGTTCCAGCAGGCTGCCGCAGCCTTTCTGAGTGGCCAGCAACCCGTGGAGACATCCACTCCTGTGCAGCAGCTGCTCCAGCATGAGGACACGCAGCCGACTGCAATATTGCCAGCGCCACGCTTTTCGGAACGTCCTGCTGCAGCCACGCCCATCAACCGGCCATCTTTCAATGACTTTGGCATTGGACGCTTCGAAAACTCTCAGCGCTTCGATTTGTCGCGTCCAACACCCACTGCTACGGCGGCACCACCTCCACCCCAACGTGTCGCAGTCATACGCACGAGACCTGCGGCTGCAGTGCGTCCCGAGCCAGCACCTGTCTCTGTACAGCGTCCAAGACCAAAGCCTATTCAGCCACGCCCTCTTATCGATCAGAATCAGCTACAGGATGAACAGAACGCGCAACAGCAGCGTCGCCAACGTCCCGTCGCCCAAACCATACGCAAGTGGCGCGATGAGAACGAGGATGGGTCCATCACATGGGGCTATGAGAACGACGACGGCTCCTTTAAGGAGGAACTCATTGGCACCGACTGCATAACCAAGTGAGTGGTGAATCAGAAATTAATGAAATCAAATATATATCAATATGTCTATGCAGGGGTACCTATGGCTACATTGATCCCGATGGCAACAAACGGGAGTACAACTATGAGACGGGAATCAAATGCGATCCCAATGCGCGCAATAATGAGGAGGATCTACAGGAGAACGGCTTCATCAATTACGARGAAAATCGCGCTGTGTTGCCCAACGGCTTGGAAATCGATATGTCACAGCTAGGAAAGAAGAAGTCCAAGCGTCCCAACAGTATCTACAGGAACTAAGCGCACGCACGATTCCAAACTCCAATTAGCTGTTTAAGTCAATGAGCTCTTAAGTCGTCGCCTTAATTGTACTAATCTGTAATTACGTCTGTACTTTATTATTATCGTGTGTAAAGTTTAAAGTGAGAAATTATATGAATAGCCTGTAAAATTCGTCAACTTAATACGGGCGCTGACGTCGCGTTGGCGGCATGCGATTTGGAGGCGTTATGGATATATCCAGGAAATCACCAATGCTGAACTTTGCCTGAGCAAGCGTCTTGTTGTCATCGATGCCCTTCTGGCCTGTACAGGTTACACCAATTTCGCGCATTTGAAAGTGATTATTGCGATAATTGGGAAACACAATAGCAAAGTCAAAGTAGGTGCCCTTTTTCCGCGTATCTGGATTCACGTCTCGCACAAGCGAGGTGAGCTCATGCAGCGTCGCATCCTGCCAGGTGTAGATTTGCAGCTCGTTGGTGGGAACGTTGCCGTACATGTACTCCGAGACAGAATGATGCCGGCCCGTGGAACAGAATACCCGCAGCAGCAGCGGGCAGGTCTGCAATGACAGCAAGAAGAGGAAGCATATTAACCGAAATAGCCGGCATTCGCGTTCGCCATATGGTAGTTGTGACAAACCTTCTCGCGATCGATTTGCTTGACCTGCGTCTTTTCCTCCACAATCATTGATTCAACATTGGCCATGTTGTTGTATTGTATCTATTTTTTAATTGAATTATTTATAAACGCTACTGTTGAAAACAAATATGAATTAAACGCACCACCAAATAATAACAACTAGTGGTGGGGCACTCTATGTAACTGCTAGCAAGTAACGGTTACGTGACACATCACTAAATACTCCAAATAAATATTTATACCTGATTTATGCACGAATTTCAACTTTCGCATAGGTAACAATTTTAAAATTAAATTAAAATCTAGTAAATAATTTAAGTAGATTTTATGAATTATGTATATCTTTCAGCAATTAATCAAGTAGCATACGCTATGCAATGAAGTTGGCTGCACTGTGTCAGCTGTTAAACCAATTTGGTATTTTTGAAAAGTAATACCGTATTTGAAGTGCATTATTAGTATATTTRAAGAAGCCGMCCTTCTGGCTACACTGGAATTAACACAAATATTATTGAAGCGAAAATTGTGGGGAGCGGTTGTGTCGCGTTCTGACTGTCGGAAAGTCAAATTGTGTTAAGCAGATGCCTAAAAGCAAAACTGATTTGCTTTTGCATTATACACTAAATAATCTCGGCCACGATATCCGCCAGAATTAACATTAA